TCCATATTCTTGAGAAAACAAGAATGGGTCAGAACATGCATATATCATCAATGTGTCTATGTCTTACTTCACTCTATTCATAAATGTACTTTGCAAGAAAAAGACATTAGATTTACAAGAGCAAAAAAATATGTATTATTGTGCTCTTGAATACTCTTCCAGCTCATTTGTAAATAGGAAGCCGCTGAAAAATTTGAATTGGCTTATGATCATCTTATATTTAATTGCTGCTGCCTTAGTCTGCACAATTAAAAATTCTGTCACTAAGAGTAAAAAAGTTTTAAAGGGTTTCGCCATTTTTGCTTCATAGAAGTTTGATAGCTATATGAGGCATGCAGATCCTGAAATCTTTTTGCCAATGTCAACTAGAAAGGAACGTTGCAATGTTTACATGACTTCTAAAAGATCTGAGTATTTCTAACATTTTACATAGTGCAGTGAAAAATAGGACAGCCATAATCCAATTTTATCTAAATCTGCTACAAGGAAATTATCAATGTAGTGATTACTCCTCTTAGTGATAGACTTGTGGTTAAATAATACTAGCTCTCACAAGAACTAGACAGATTCAGTGTGACTTGCATGAGATAGTGGAGTAGAACTTTATCTCCCTTTCAGAAAGAGTACTCATCACTGAGGAGAAAAAGGTCATCATAACCATCCAAGGTGGCTATAATTTTTTGTAGGCTCCACTTTGCACAAGAACATGGAGGAATCACCTTCAGGTGGAATAGGCAAATCAATGGCTTCAGGAGAGAAGAAACCCTGCTCTCAGAAAAAAGGTTTGGGTATCTAGGAAACTCAGACAGAAACTGAATGTGCTTGTGTATATACTTGAGAGGCTCCAGGACTTAGGTATTACAAATGAAGTAAGCAATAAGTTTGATGACCAAAATTTTGGACCTGGATCTTGAGGATGGAAAACAAATGTGATTCTATGCTCCTTACATTTTTTGTAGTCCCTGTATTGGTAAGGACAGCTCAAAGGAAATTACTGTATATGTGCTTATTGAGAAAAAGGCTGCAACAGTAAGTGATGGAAACAATGGGGTGGAGGGGGGAAACAGCTGTATCATTGTCTACTGCAATTCGTGATACTGAACTTGGGAGTAATGTTCATTGAAAATTTAAGCATGTTTGATACAAAAGTGTATAAAAAAATCTTATCTGTGAGGTAAAAGGTAGGGCAAATCAGGATAGTAAAAGCCTCCAACAGTCCACATATTATAATGTATTATAAATACATATTATGTTGATCATTTTGGCTGGACCTTGGATCTAGGTATAAATAATGATCTCTTAGGTCAGAAAGAACCTGTTTCTCTAGTGTAAATAAGCATTGTCTGCTGTAGGTCTTGAAGCCTTTGGCCTAGATTGGTATTAAGAAATTATTTGACCATATCAGCCCAATCTAGTGTTGCTGCAAATAAATTATCAGATAAGTTCCTTTGGTTCCTCTTAGGAAATCCTCACGTCTACTTTTATTTCATATATAGGGGAGTCTTCTGAAGTGTAAGTTTAACCACAGGAAATGCAATCACTTTAAAGAATGTTTGCAATCTTTTTATTGTGAAAGCTTCCTTTATATTGTTTGTAGGCTAGAATTCTGTAAGTGCGCTGAATTTTTTTTATTTTTATTTTTTAGCAGTAGTATTCAGAAGTACCTTTAGGTTCAGCATAGTTAGAAAAGTTATTACAAAAATCAGTTTTGAGGGGTGTCTTGCCATTTAGCATCAGTATGTAGGAAATGAGTAGTAAGAATGTCTGAAAATGAAATCTCTGAAATCCCAGTCAATCTTAATTGCTTACTGCCCTATTGAAGGTACCTTCACAATGAGCATTGAAAACGTAATTATCAGGGATTACTGGCTAAATCACTTTGTTAGCACTTACCAAAACAGTTCTACAGAATAGTTTATAATAAAGAGTATTTGTACTCGTGTAGCATACCCAGCCTACAAAATTGATATTTAATGTCTGATTTTACAACCAGGCATGAGAATTGGTTCCTGGATCTGGGTAAATTATTTTCTTAGTTTCCTGAGCAATTAATTGGAGGTGTACAATTACTCTTGGTTTCTATTTTTGTTTTCAAGATTGTTACTACTTCTCTGAAAAAAGAAGTCTTGTGCATCCCATTCTCCTCACAGTGCAGTATCACATAACTACTAATTTAAACATGGGGGGAAAACAAATTCAGGCAGAATATATAGAACCAAAAGACTAAAACTGACTTGTTTCTGATGAGAGTGTCTTCAAAGTAGTTTGATTATGCCTGATCCAGAATTTCTAACCTTGACTGTTAAAGTGGCCCTGGTGTCTCCTGTGTCTGTGTCAAGACCAAGGGTAACTGAAACTGGATGGCGAAAGAACGCTTCAGTCTCACAGGAAATACTTATCTAAAGCTTTTAAAGAGGAGAAAATAGTCACTTATTTACCCCTTTTCCGAAAATATGCAGAGGAGACAATAAGGACATGTAATCTTACTGAAGACAATCTAACTTTAGCTGTGTTAAGCCTAGAGCTTTATGGATCTAAAGAATTGTTTGTAAATACAATTCAGTAGAAACAGCTTAATAGTTTGTGAAGCAGATTCTGATGTGTTGCTTGCATCAGTAGCTAAGTGGATTTGATGACCCTTTCATCCTTCTAGTCTCTTTCCTAATTAAATTATTCTCTTTTGCTGCAGCCCAGAAGATGGTGAAATTCATCCTGAAATCTGTAGGCTATACATCCAGTTGCAGTGTTGCTTAGAAATGTACACAACAGAAATGCTGAAGTCCATATGTCTGCTAGGATCACTGCAGTTTCATCGGAAAGGTATTGAATTGCACAAATATTCAGATGCTGATTTTGAAAAAAAGAACAATCTTTTACAGCAGTCTGGGTACTCATGAAAGACAAAGCACTGTTTTGGCTGGGGTAGAGTTAATTTTATCAACAGTAGCTAGCAAGGGACTGTGTTTTGGATTTGTGCTGGAAACAGGGTTGATAGCACAGGGGTGTTTTAGCTATTGATGAACAGTGCTTGCTGTCAAGGCCTTTTCTGCCCCTCACTCAAACCCACCAGTCAGAGGGCTGGGGGTGCACAAGGTGTTAGGAGGGGACACAGCTGGGACAGCTGACCCCCACTGACCCAAGGGACATCCCAGATCATATGGCATTGTGCTCAACATATGAAGAGGGGGGAAGATGAAGAAATGGGAGGACATTCAAAGGATGGCATTTGTCTTCCCAAGTCATCCTTACACATGGTGTAGCCCTTCTTTCCTGGGAATGGCTGAACACCTGCCTGCCAATAGGAAGTGGCAAATTAATTTCTTATTTTGTTTTGCTTGCATGCACAGCAGAGTCTTCTGAGATATTAAACTGCCTGTATCTCAACCTACAAGTTCTCTCACTTTTACCTTTTCAGTAGACTCCCTGTCCCACTAGGGGTGAGCAGTTGAGCAGCTCTATGAGGCTTTGTTGCCAGCCAATGTTAAAGCACAACAACCACCAAATTATAAAATGAACTATACCTATATATAGGTTTTCAGCTACTAAAAAAGGGCTCTTTTTCTGTTTATCATTATTCTTGCAGAAGTGTGTCTTATCAGGCTTGTATCACTAATGTCCTTGCAGTTTAGAAGTCTGATTTTTTTAAAAAAAGAATAGTCCCTGAAGTTTCAGCTGTCATTAGTCAGACCAGTGGGCAAGCTTAGTAATTTTATTAGAGGTATTTGCTGGGTATAATATTTGAGGTCAAATGTTTGATAGAGCTGTATGGCATGGTTTTAGTGCTAAACTGATTCCTTACTATCTCTGTTTATTTATTCAGCAATGCTATTTTATAGTTGTCTGGGTTTTGGCCAGGACAAGGTAATTTTTTTGCAATAGCTGGGAGGCATCAGGACCTCATGTCACTGCCAGGGGCAGGGGAAAGGGACTTTCAGGCTTATGTGGAGGAGAGCGTGGCTTCTGCTCAAAAAACGTGGCAGGGAGCAGAGAGTCATTCACTTCACTTGTCTTGGGGTTGGTGGTGAGCATTTTTGCATGTGAATCACCCTCTCTTTTTCATACTTTTCTTAATAGTATTGTTGCTGTTCCCGTCCATTTTCTTATCTCATTGCTGTTTCCAGTAAATTGGTCTTATCTCAGTCTGTGAACTTCACTTTTTGTACCTTGGTTTCTCAACTCCATTCCACCTCATCAGGGAGGGGAAAGAGAAGGGAAGGAGAGAGAGAGCAGCGTGTGGTTTGGCAGACTCTCAGTGGGGTCACTGGATTGGGGAGTACCATTCCTAAACCACAACAATAACAGAAGACTGATAAGTGTCATTAAAAAGCTGCCCACTTTTATAGAAGTAGTTAGTAGATTTGGAACTGAAATCTACCTCACAGAGTATTTTTACACACAGAGGAGATGTCCTCGCTTCAGTGAAAGTGCATCTCTAATGATTCATATTTGATTCACCTCCTGAAAGGAAGATGTAGAAATGCCGATAATTTACTGGATAGTTTACTTAGTAACCTCATTGATCAGTGATGGCACACGCTGATTAGGGCTGTATCTGTGCTGATTGTAACTACTCTTTCCCTAGATAATATCTCAGCAGAACATACTAGGTAAAGACAAGACAAACCTCTGTTATGAACTGCGATAAAGGCCTTGTAATGAACCTTGTGAATTTCCTGTCACACCGAAAGGTCCTGTAGTGTATTTTTTTGCATTGAGCCAGGGATATTTGGTATTTTTGTTATGGAAGTAAGAATGAGAGCTTTATAACTGCTTAACTGAGCTTCTCAGTTATTTATTTCAAGTCAAAATAAATCTATAGAACAAGAAGAGAGAGTCAACAGCCATTGTATAACAAGATGCCAGTAGCTTTCACAATGAATCATCATTTTTTAGGACAGATTTTACTACATTTCTTAGCGCTGGTTACAGTTGTCAAACCATCTTCTGTAACTGCTGAAAGAAAATAGCTTGAAGTGACTTGAGTAACCCCAACATGTCTTGTTCTTTTGCTTCTGGACAGAATCTACATTAATAACTTAAACTAAACAACAAACTGTTAGAAGTCTAAAGTTGGATGAGTTGCAGTTTAGTTCCCATCTGGCAGTACTTTTGATACACACTAGTTCCTCAACCTGCCGTAGAGAAAGTCTTGGTAGCTATTCTGCCATTGCTAAACCGAGTGACTTTTGTCCTGTATCCATGTAAAGATAAACACAGTAACTTGGCTCCAAGCTTTTGGGACACCCTTTGAAAAAAAACTCATAACAGGCAAAAATTATATGATGACAGGGATTCAAATAATTTGAATAGCCAACAGAACATTGCTCTTTTGTATTAAGTACCTGGTATTTACAACACTTAAAAGTATTGTAAAGACATCATGCAATAAGGGAAATTCCATTTCTGTGTTAACTATTTTTTCACAGTGAAGGTAGCTGTATGCTAGACAGGCACCAAAATGGGCTGTGAAATATCCCTTCATGGAGATACTGTTAACTCAAATAAACGTGAACAGTCTAATGCAAGTTGACTCTGCTTTCAGTAAGGTGTTAGACTAGATGACTTTGTAACCTATTTATTCTGTGTTCTGATAAAACATAAAGTTTTCAAAGGAGTATAATAAGCCCATATACCTTTGTTTAATTTCTTTACTTACAGAGAATGATACTACAGTGTAGGCAAAGTGCATAAATTTATCTCTAGGGAGGAAAGATACAATAATTTCACCATTATAAAATATATTGTGATATTGCTAGTGTATAACTTCTTTAGTTTTTCACCAGTTTTTCATCATCTGAATGACCATATTAAAAAAATAAATTCTTGTGTATTAAGAGTACTACCCCTATAATATTTGTTTAATCCATAAATATGTATGTCTGATGTTCTTGCTGTATCTTGAAGAGCATTTCTGAAGATAATATTTTCTATTGGGATGTAATAGTTTCTAGTCCTCTTACCTGTTGGACAAGTTGTTTGTTAGGTTTTTAAGTCTCAGATAAGATTTCACTAATTTATGTTCTTACATCAGGAGCCAGCAGAGGATCAAGCAGAATGACATGCAGACTGTTCTCAGCAACCTGTAGCTTATATATAATAATTATGGGTATTGGTACCTTAATCAAAATTCATCAAACAAATTATAGAACTGATAAAGCTAAGGCAGGGGGCTGATGCTCTTTTCCCAAGAGAAGCTCAGCCAGTGCTCCCTACTAGGAAACAGATGCTCTTAATGAAACACAACACAACAATTTGAGGGCTGAGCTCTGTGTCTTTTCATCTGTTACAGCACAGATCTTCTCATCTCTCCTTATCTTTCTTTACTACTGAACAGATATTCCTTTATTTACTGTATAGTGTATATCAAGCTTCCTGTACAGAAATTTCTTGCATATTTACAATGCAAGATGAACTTACTGGTGCCACAGAACCTTTACTAGAAAAATCAGATATTTTGTTATTTCTTTGAAATTTAACTGTCACAGTGGGGCCAAAAGACATTAATATTTGCAGCTGTGTTATACAGTAAGTAAACTGAGGTAAGTGCTCTTTAAGAATTATTTTTTTAAAGATACATACACCACAAAAGCCAAGTGTTGAAAATGTACTATCATTCAACAGTTCAACATTCAGAAAGTTTGCAAGGGGCACAAGGAATCATGCCCAAATATCCTTAATTCAAGATTTTTGTAGTTACTAAGCTTTTGGTTACCTTATCATATATTTTGTTACTCCTTTCCACAATCCCAAGAGTCCTGGCTAACTAATACACGTATTCTACTTGAACACACATCTTTCTTTTATCCTAATTGTTTAGTATAATACATTGTATTTATTGCACACGATTCTCTTCTAAAGGCAGAATCTTTCTATTCCTCAGACCTTGCTCAGTAACTCACACACTAATAGGTGTATCTTCAGAACTGCATAAATAGCAATTTCTCCCCATTGTAAAGAGACATTAAGCTAAAAAAATGCTAATTTAGAATCTGAGAATTAGAATTTAATGGAAAGTAAGATACTCCGAAGAAACTTAGGTACCTCTCTGAAGCATTTACAAAATTCAGTTGTCATTCATTTAAATGTTGTATGTGTACCTATTGACATATTTAATTAAATAAACAAATTCTGCTGTAGCTATCAAGGTCTTAGAAATTGTTGGCCTACTTTCTGTCCATGGAAGCTGCTGGATGTGATTATTATTTTTCAAAATTAACATGGAGGTTGTCAAGGTTGCACATTGAGAAAATCAAGGACTGCCTCGGAGTTCGTAAGTGCACTTCAGCATACATGGTGTACACAGCCACAAATACTTTGGGGTCAAAGGTTTTAATTGCATTTTTAATATGCAAACATAACAGATAAAAAATCTTTACTACTTCATATATCCACAATAGTAATTCCTTTCATTGTTAGGAACTGTAAAACATTATTATAATAATGGAATAACGTGTCACTGTGGAAGTGCGCACTACCAAAGTTTAATGTCTGTACATGTTTACATAGAAACCAGGAATTTCTTAGGATCATCTACAGATCTAGTTGACTTGTTGAGTTATATAATTACTTATATCGGAATATATTTTTTAAACCCTAGATTGTATATTGCAATATTGTATATTGTATATTAGCTAGCTGTGCAGCATTTGAGCACTTTAATATTGAAGAGAGCAAGCCCATATAACAAATCAAAGGCAAGATGGGACAATTAAAATGAACTGGAGGTGTTTTCCAGAGTTCAAAACATGCTGTAAAAATAAAGCTACATTGTCAAAGAAGTACAAGGTCTGAAACTGGTAGCTGTTTATTCTGAGTTTTAAAAGAATAAGTCTCTGCTCATATATAGTTACAGGAATATATTATTCTTGTGGTCCAACCTGCTATGTTGTGTGTATTCTTCAATAATAAGTCAGTGAGACAGTCTCCAAGTTCCACAGGTCCCAAGTGTAAGTCAAGAATTAAGTACATCAGACTGTTAACTATATTTGTCAAATACTTTTTTTACCTCCTACACAACTCTTTCCTATTCCCCTTTTAGGTTCTCCTGTTCATGTACTTAAGCTGTGATTTATAGCTTGCACATTTTTCCTTAGTTCCTAAGTTAGAAACCTGATGCAAATGCTACCTTCATTTTGAGAGAGGGATTCTTTCAACTTTGTTAAATGCAGATATTCCCTTCAAAGATCTTTCTAGTTCCTCTGCAGTGAAATCCAACTAGCTCTAAGGGACATATAATAAGGGTTTTTTTCTTTTAATTTTTTTCATTCATCACAGTTTTTGTGCAAATTAGGTGATGACTAAGAGTTGGTGGATAGGGTAGCATGACAGAGGTCACCACAGAAGCAGTAAGAGGCACAACAAGTGAGATACATAAAACACTGTGGTCACGGGTTATATATGAAACCTTGCTGAACTGATAATTTTCTGCTCTTCTATTTATCCTCACTCAAGTTTGATCATCAGCATTATTTAATTGAATTAATTTCATACCAAAGTATTTTCTACTTCTTAAAGTGAAGGGGAAAAAAAAGAGATTAATTACTGGTAAGAAGAGGAAGAATACATCATTGCAACTGAAATTATTGAAAAATCTTTCCACTGACTAAGTTGAAAGTCAAATTCAGGGTTTACATCCATTCATAAGTGTGTATTACAAAAGATATCCTTACCTACTACTGGAGGGATGAGAAGATTAAAGAGCTTTTGTTTCTCTGTAGGCTGTAACATGTAGTAGGAATGTTAAGCGTGAGTCATGCATTATTCAAGAAAAGCCTTTATTATTAGCTGACTATTTAATTGTTTTCAAGTGATGAGCAGATGATCTGAAATTCAAGAAGGACTTCATGAATTGCTCACAATGCAACAGAATTACTGGTAAAGAGCTATTCTCAGTGGAAAAGAGATCTGTGCGGTTCATTCTGCTAAATCTGCAAGAGCTTGCCTTTGTGCTAACAAAAAGAACGTTTCAGTCTCAGTGCTTCTGTTCTCAAATTGTGAAAAAGAATTTTTACTCTTATTTCATCTAGTGCTTTCATCTGGTGTTATTGTTTCTTTTGAAACACCTTTCACATCCCTGAAGGATGCATCTATAGACAGGGTTGTTCTTGACAGTATGTTGCCAAAGGTCAGGTCAGAGTTCCACCATTGCGCCTCAAAATAATGGGACAATTCATTAATATCCAGTTTCAGCCTTGTGATATTGGTGGCAAATTAGATGCTTTACATGAAACCTCTTTTGTGAAAAAGCAAAAAGTGAGATATTGGTAACTTTATGTTTTGTTATGGGCTTACTGTAATGGGAAAAAATAACAAATAATGAAGCTTATATGAATGAACACTGAAAACTGTACAATAAGAACTACCTTAAAATAACAGTAGAAGCTTCAGTTAAGAACAAGAAAAATTTAAGTTATACCTACAGGGTGATACAGAGAAAAACAAGTAATCTGGGAAGTAGGCTTAGTCTGCTGTTCCACAAGCAACTGAGTCAGCATTCAGGCTTGTAGCTTGTAACCAACAGGAAGGTCTTGATCCCTTTTTCTCTGTCTCCCCTCCCTTACAGTGCCTTCACTGCTTACTCCCACTATTTCTGGCCATATGATCTTCCTCTGGCACTTGCTCTTGAACAAGTAAGATTCTTGACTGATCTGACTTAAACCACTTCATCAGAAAACTTTACATTTTATTTTTCATTTGGGTAATCTTCTACCATTTGATGGGCTAAAGTGGATCACAGAAGGACTTGACAAAGCCCGAGTTAGCAGTGGATGCCAAAGTAAGCAGCAAAGAAAGGACACAGAACATCATTCTTTTATGGAGGGTAAACTTATTATATCAGGTCATGCACCCTCTTAGACTCAGTTAGATAACTTAGTTGGAAGGAAAGCTGGGAAAAGTGCTTCCTACTGGCTTTAAAGACTAATGAAAACATGAAGCAAGTGTCTTCTGCAGCATAAGTAACATCTAGTTTGGCATTTCAGGGAAGTAGCTAAGAACAACTTTTTTTTTCTTTTTAGCAAGGGAATAATTTACCTGAATGCAACAGTTTAGAGAACTCACCCAAAAAAATTATCTTAAAATTCAGGAATTTTTAGATTTTAAAAAAGAAGGTTACATGCCTGATAGTAGGAATATTTGTGATGTGGAAGAGCAGTATAGCATGGTATGCAGCCTTGGTCTCTAGTGTCCCAGAAAAATGTGCTATGTCAGCACTGCTCTACTAGCTGGTCTTGTTCTTCATGTTCTTTGCCAAGCCTTTCAGGAACTACTTAGGTTTGTCCTGATGTAAAAATTTTTAAAATTACAAAAATTGTGAAATGAAAGACATTTCCTACTCAACGTTACGTACCAGTGGTTTAAACACTGACATTTTTTCCTCTACTTTTAGAAAGTTTTATTTGTTACTTTCTGAGATTGTTTACTCCATTTCCTGAGAGAACTCAGGAAAAAAAATTTGACTTCTTAATAACTTGTCTGGGATGCAATGCAATGTGAATTTTTTCCTTTAAATGTACTTGATGCCAGAACTGTACTTGCCACTACAGAAGAGGAACACTATGAGACAGTCCAGAAGAGATTTGCAAGGATACCAAAATATTCCACCAATGCTTAACTGTCTTGCATACTCTGCTATCACAATCCATATCCTTTATCCCATCGTCTCCCTGACAAAAGCCCTGGAAGATCTGTCATGAAGC